GATAATATAATAAGTAATTATATTAAAAAAATTTAACATTAACCATTTATAATATGACAATAATTTTACTTTTATTATATGTCATCAATTATATTAAAATAAAATGTCATGTACAAAATTTAAAAAATTATGCAAACTCATTTACTTGATAACCAACATTAATATTTAACTTATATATTAATGGTATGTACTAATATGAATTTACATTCCTTTTAACTCGTACTTTTTATCTAAAATATTTTGATTTATTTACATTATATTTGATGTATTAAATCATTTAACTATTAATTTTATATTTAGATACATATTACTTCAACTATTATATTTTTAACTATTAATATTGATTTAAGACAACTACAACCTAGAATCTGAATCCGAATCTTATATTTTGGGGAGTGTGTATGACTCCATCGTCACGTCCATCCATCTGCTACTTGGAATCTTGACTGCAATATAATTAACTTTCAGCAACAATCACTTTGTTGCTGAAAGCCTCATCCTTTTGGCATCACACTCCATGTTGGTGTTGCAACTTTTCAGCAACATAGTGCATGTTGCTGAAAGGCTCATCCTTTTAGCATCACACTCCATGTTGGTGATGTAAGTTTTTAGGGCCAACCTGTTTTGCCACACACTCTTTGCTTTCTGCACCATTCTTCCCCCTAAAACATTGCTGCCATATTTCCTCCCATCTCTACTTCATCTTTCTACCAGAATTTGCCACAATCCGAGAAGGCAATTAAGATTTTTAAGGATTATTTACAGTACAAGCTTTCATATTTTCGTTCATTAAGGTAAATCTACCATCTTCCTATTGTTTCCTTATATTTTTTCTACCCTCTTTAACCCTATAGTTTAAATCCATTATCTTTTGTATTCATAACCCATTTCTGTTTAGTATTTGATAAATTATGATCTTTATACTGTGAAATAAACTTCTGCAATTTGCATGTACCATTTCCCAATTGCCCTTCATTTTTATTTTAAGAGTAAGTTTTATTTCTCATTAGTTTTCACCCTGATCTTCATTATATTTAAATGTTTTTTTTTTGTATATTACAGTTTTTGTTTCTATCACGGACGAATGAAAATTACGTTATTTTTTACTTATTATTGTTTATTATATTATACATAACTTACAGAAAAAAATTAGTAGTTAATACAAATATTATTATATTGTAAATACACATTTGTTACACAAAAATTAAATATTAATTTGAAATTTTCGGTTCCCTTAGATGACATTTTCAGTAAGTTTTTCATTAGAAATAAAGTAATGGTTAAACTTCAAATTTTGCTCCATAAATTTGAAGGGTGTGTACATTCTTCATATCATAATTGGTTTATTAAATTATAGTCCCTAAACTATGAAAATGTATACCTTTTACTTACCCGTTAACTTTATTATAATTTACATAATTTTAAATCCCTAAAATTTTAGTATAAGTACATTTCTATCCCTCAACTTTTAATATATGCACAATTTCTCCCCAAACTTAAATTTAATTTACTATAGATATATATATATATATTTATTTATTCTTTATGCAACCGATGATTTAATCCACAAGACAGTGATTGACCCGTTTTTTGGTCACCGGATTTGGTTTAACTGATTTGACTGATTGGGTCAACCAGTTAACCTAATAAATAGTATTTAATTCCTTTTCTCAATTATAAATTATTTTTACATTAATTGATTTAATTTTTAAAATTGATATAAATCATTTTTATTTATTGATCAAATAAATTATTAATTTTTAGAACTTTATTTTAAAATTTATTAATTT